TTTGTTGTTTGAGTCAGTGCGCGTGTCCTACTTTGACTGCCTAAACTACAGTGATGGCGCTGTGCTGCAGAGCAAATGTTGCTATCTGCTAAAGTTGTGAGGCAAAGGTAGCCCATTCACGATTACGCAGTTTGTGCGTAAATTCAAGCAGTAAAATATTAATTAGTCAAATAAATCAAGACGATGGTTGACCGGCAACCTTTGGAGGCACTTTAGATAATCAACATGCTGAGGTGTTTGAATCTTCATCAGTGGAGACAGAGCATTTGCAAAACATGGCATGACATTTGATCATGTTAGCTTAGTGCTAACAGTAAAATGATAAATTTAATGGCAGTTCATTGGATGAAAATAACCCTTTGGGCAAAAATGCCAATCTTAATTTTTTCTTTAATTATAACTTTATACCAAAGGTGGGACTTGTGGAGTCAACCTGTCATCTTTATGTCACATATTTTTTTAATTCACTGGTTCAGTGGCTGGGCAGAATAAAAACATGCCTCCACAACTCCCACCTCTGCTTTACAACGTGCAGCTGACATCAGGGATAAACAACAAGCTTCGGTTTAAATTAACTATCACTGAAATATAAGGAGATAATGAGCAGAAAACCTGTGAGAAAAATGTTAGAAATGTAGGAAGCCAGAAGCAAACATCCTTTACTTTCATGCCACAAACTTGCTCTTACTAGTTTGCTGTGACATATTATTGTTTTATGTCATTCTTTCTAAAAACAATATTGATATTTGATTCATTCGGTCCCATTTTATACCACCATATTACATGTTGCCATTTGATATCATCCAATATTAGAAAAACCCATCATTTCCAAACAATGTTCCATCTGAGAAAATGAAACATTTAGAGCAAGATAACTTTAGTCAGGAATCAGATCTGTGTCACTGTTCCTAAAATGTAAAAAACTTTTTAACATTACACACTGTAATAAGCTGGGATTCATGCACACAGAGGGGCAAAGTTCTGATGAACAAAACATTATGGGATGAAGGAGGGGAACACATCTTTGTCAGATAGCAGGTGTTTATCTGATTGGCTGAATAATTAAGGAATTATTTGATAGAGAACTCGCACACTGAAATATTCTATATTTCCAAACTAGTCACTGATTTATTAGAGGTAAATACAGCAGCAGCCATTCAAAAATGGCCCTCCCCAGTCAAACGCCAGCGGAATGGCAGCCCACTTCCCTGCAACTCCCAGAAAATCCCCTCCAACTTCCAGCCACTGGGTTGGACCACTCTTACATATTTTTTTTACTCCGACTCCAGCCTTTCATTTAATTACATGGTCTGACCAGGAGACGGCGCTTCTCTTTAGATCTTAATGTCCACAAATCAAGACAGAAAAAATATTTTAGGATAAAGATTTATTTTTAAAAAGGAATTGAAGGACTAGCCAAGGATCATCAAGGAAAGTGGAAATCTTGCATGGCTACTACTGTAAACAACAATCTGCTCCTTTTTAAACCTTTTTAAGCCACATTTCATATTTATTGTTCTGCAGCTTTGTCAGTCTTTCCATTTAAATTTATTTTTTAACTCCAATAAGCCGTAATTTATCACTTCTCTAATGCAATGAGTGGAGCAGGAGGGTTTAAGCTTCTGGTTTCAGCAGTGTCAGGCTGCAGACGGGAAATGATGCATAAGCTGCTATATTTCCGTGGAGGTGGAAGATAACAAAGGGAGCTCAAAGCTGCCTCTGAGGGGAACAGGAATACGACATGAAGGTCAGTGTGGAGCCACTTCTGGATGTAGTTCAGGTCCCGCATGTCCAATGTCTGTCCTTATGGGTCAGGTTTAGGTTTCTGTGCTTTAACACACCTGATTTAGTTTATTGTAGTTTAGCAAAAGACCATTAATCAGCCATCAATGGAAC